ATTAAATGTCCAGATGTCCGTGGGTTGTGTAGCGATGTTCGGCTTTCAATTGTGGCCTATAGATCGTCTCAAAATAATACAAAAAATTAAGTTCTCGGTCCAGTTCATCCCAAAATTATTATCTAATTATCACCGAAAATTATAAGCGTTGTCCTTGACCATTCATGGATGCTCATGGAAAATTTCAAAGCGATCAGAGCTTTATTTCCGCCCTCTAGTGAGGTAATGGGTTACTAAATAATATCTGAATACATAAGCACCTGTAAATATTTAAGTGTAACTTCCACACATGAGAATATTCGACAATATAATTGGTATTAAGTTAAAGGTCAGCCACTCCTCTTGGATATACTATCAACTTCTCGGGTCTATGTCCCTCGGGAATTAATATACACCTCATAGAATACATATTTTCACACAAAAGTCAGGGTCAATTTGGCCCGCTAAATAGTGACCGATCTTTGTCAAAACAGGCATGCTTATTCTTTGGCCCGGTCCCCTTCTCGAGGTTTGGGCCATAATTGCGGCCTCTGGAACCAACAAAAATTTGTTCCATTTCATCAAAAACAATAGAGGTCTTCATCCTACATGCAAAATTTCGTGGAGATTGGTCTATAACTGTGGCCTGTATCGTGTTTACAAATTATAATGGACAGACGGACGGACGGACACACATGTCTAGATCGACTCAGCTAGTCGAGATATGACGATCGGTATGCTTTAAGGTGGGTCTAGGACCAATATTTCGCGGCGTTACAAACTCTTGGGACTGCACAAAGCTACAACATAGTTGTGTAGGGTATACAAATTCTTCAAATATATATTTAACTCTCATAAAATAAAACTTTTCGATTTCATAACACTGTGATTCTGCCCCAAAACCCCACTCTCTCCTTTTATGAAAAACAGCGAAAAATTTAAAATTAATCACTTTCATTGGCGATGGTTTTGTTGCTGGCATTCTCCTGTTTACATTTCCTTCAATATTTTGTGAATGCCCCCAAATGTTTCACTGTTTCTTTTTTGCTTTGTTCCTCCACCATGGTCGTATTTTGTATTCCATTGGTCATTACGCTCTGAAGTGATTTGTAGGTAAATGTTAACTGGATTCGAAACAAACAACCTATCAATAAATAAGAAAACCAAAAACATTTAGAGTACAAGTGCCTGTACATATATTTTCCTTCTGTTTTGTTATTTGTAATCCTGTCACGTCCTTTCTATAAACATGGCAAAGCAAGAAACGGTACAATTACATTTCACCTTTTTTCTCTTAGCTGTTCCCACGGTGATGCCAATAATAATTTGAATTTTTTCGCGTATTTCACGAAATTATTTTGGGCGATGTTGGGGGAGTGGAAAAGATTTGTGGAAAATGTCAATATTGGGATTAATGTATTGTGTTGGGTATTTGAAAACAATTTGTAAATTATTTGCTGTTTTTGTTTTGTCGGGTGGAAATGCTGAGCAATTTGGCAATGAAAAGATACAATAAAAAATAAATACGAATATGAAGACCGCTTTAAGGAACATTATATGTTGTATGAAGATATTTAACAGATGTCTGTTTTAAGGCTCCTTTAGTATAACATAGTTACCGAATAATATAATTTATGTTCTCCTGTTAATTAATAGAGTTTTTTTTTAATTTTTTAATAAAAAATTATAAATCGCGAACTACAGATTTTTTACAATTATGGTTGAATTCATTGTTTTGTTATTATTAATGTTTTTGTTTTGTTTATTTTATCTTTATGTGGTATAAATTATGGTTTCGTTATTTGTAAAAATATTTACACGACGAAAAATAAAACAATAAGAACGGTGCTAAGTTCGGTCTGGTCGTACTCTTTATACCCTTCACAATGGGATGTGCATTTAAATTACCAAAAAAAAAGATGTCGGGAAATTTTTGCTTGGTAAATTTGGCTAAGACTTTCAGCATGTCGAAAATATGAAGGGGTTTTTATCTGCTTAGGTGCTTTTCAACCTCCAAACACACGAAATGCCCATGATAGTCATACAACTGGTGTAATAGGGTTAGGGACCTACATATAGCCCCATACTTTAAAAAACAGTGAGCGGTGCAGTATAGTCGGACGGTGCATACCATATTATACCCTACACAACCACTTTATTCTGAGCTTGGGTAATATTTGGCGATATTTGCACCCTATTGACCGATTATATGTCAACAGCTTCACTTTCTAACCATGAAAGTTTTTCCTACTCTTGATTTCCCAAGGTGAATATTTACGCCACAAAATAAAAATTTGGTAACTTTATGTTTTGGTTGATTTGGCCCTCGGAATATTGACCAATCAGGGGCTATATCTAAGTTTGAACCGATTTCATGGAAACTTGGCACACGTTAGGCTATCCTAACTTTAGTACGTTGTGCAAAATTTTGTGTAAAATCACTAAAAATCGGACAAAAATATATATGGGAGCTATATCTAAATTTGAACCGATTTCATTGAAACTATGTACACGTTAGGATATATTAACTTCAGTGCGTTTTGCAAAATTTTGTGCCAATCGGCCTAAATTTGGTGCACAATTTGCTAAAAATTGGACGAATATATTATGGGAGCTATATCTAAATCTGAATCGATTTTCATCAATTTCAAAAGAGTTCGTCCTTGGGGCAAATAAATGATCTGTGCCAAATTTCGTCTTATTCGGACTTTGTTTATAATTTAACATGGACAGTCGGAAATGCATAAATCGACTCAGAAAGTGATTCTAGGCATATTCTCAAAAGGAACCATGTGTCTATCTCGTTTCCTTTTGCCTACAAACATATGCACAGTACCTGACCGCAGTGTAGTGAAGGGTATAAAAAACCAAAGTAAAATGTATTTAAAATTATACCAAAGCCCGGTGTGCCAAATTACCGCCCTTTCGGTTGACAAATGCGTACCAAATACCGAAAATTGTGCTGGACCCTTTTATGGTGGTTATGTCACAACATAATTTTCTGCACAAATGTTGGCCAGTCTCCAAAATCTCGAAATGCCAAATTAGAGCACTTTCATATCCAAAATACGGCTAAAAAACTGAAAATACCTAAAACTGGGCGGGACCTTTATATGGGGTGGTTATGGTGGTTATGTCACAACATAATTTTCTGCACAAATGTTGGCCAGTCTCCAAAATCTCGAAATGCCAAATTAGAGCACTTTCATATCCAAAATACGGCTAAAAAACTGAAAATACCTAAAACTGGGCGGGACCTTTATATGGGGATATATAATGATAATTTTTTACATAGATGTATGACCATAGGTGTAAACGTCAAAAACGTAATATACCTGTATAAAATGTAGTAAAAGTCATTTATTTCAATATTATCACCATATACATTTATTTTCCAGAATATATAAAATGTTTACAAATATCTGACTATTCCGTACAGGGACTTATAAAAAATCTGAACTTGTTTTGAGAAGAAAATTTTTAAATTTCATATGGATTTGAGTAAAGTATACGTAATTTCAAAATTGACTAATGGAAATAGTTATTTTGTCAAAAACCAAATGATTTTTGGGTGAGTTTCCGACGTTTCTGACGTATGTATTATACGTCGGAAATGTATGTCATATACGTTACTGTTTTTGACGGACCCTCTCTGTGTATGACAGCCTCCCATATTCTGGTATGCCCAAATTACAGTCCTTCTGGGATGATTGGTACTGCAAATTGGATATATCGGTTTTGTTATATACTTCATATAACGGAACCCAATATTCAATATTTTGGGGATGTTGGAAATGTTTTTCAGCCGAATATGTTGAAATTTAATATTTTGGGTTCTCATTATATAGCAAAAATGGTCAATATTGAGCTAAGTTTCGGGGTAGACTCCGTTTAACAGTACCCCCATATGTCGGTAATTCGGAAAGATTTGCCCTGTTTTTGAATCGATTTTGGTTGTAATTAAACATTTTAATTTCGTATTCGGTGGCATATCTATTGATATTGGTACTCTTTTTAGGGCAGCCACCATATAACTAAAAATCCCAAATTTCATTTTTTTAATTTGCCCACGATTTTTAACCAAATTAGCCTACCAAAACTACCAATGTAGGTACATTTTTTGAACTACCCACATATAATGATACGTGCCAAATATCGGTATTTTGGCAGTGTGTACATGATTTCCAACCAATTGGTTTATTGGATGTCAAATCTCAATATAGTTCCCCGTTTTGGAACAGCCCCCATAAAACTGTGGCCTACTATTCAATATTTTTTTTTGATTTCAGACATATTTTTCAATAGTCAGCTCCATTTTCGGAATGTTAAAGCTTCTAGCCCAACCTGAGCGTCTGATGTTTGTTATATGGTTTTATCCTGAAAATATCAATCGATTATGGGTAATTTGAATATCCCCTCCATGGTGGAGGGTATTAAAAGTTAGGACTAACTTATCGAACTTTTTATTTATTTATGTTACAAACAAATGCCAAACAGCCATAATACCCCGCACCAGAGTGTGGTATAGGACATAGCATATATTTTGCAATACAATAGGATTAAATTACTACATGTTCGTAAATGAATATAACAAGTATTGGATAAAAATTTCCATTGAAATTTATGATTGTAAATCTCTCGGCAAAAAATAAAATAATAATTACATATTTTTCCTACCCATCGAAATAGGTAATAATTTTTGTTAGTGTTCCAGTTTTGCGATGATTAATATCGGCAACGAAATAAAAATTTAAATTGCATAAATAAACGAAAATATTCACAATGAAAAAACAATGCAACGTTTACACAACAGGACAAACATAAATAAAATATCATCATCCGTATCACGATGGTGCTGCATGGTAGCATTATTCCCATGACAAGCCCTGATATAAAAATAAACAAATAAAAACACAAATATTTAATTTAACTAACTTTTTCTGGTCTTTAACATTATTTTATTATAGCGGTAGAGTAGATAAATAAATAGGAACTTATATGTAAAAAACGTGCTAAAAATTATTAATTTATAACTGTACAAGATGACTACTTAAATAAAAACACTGGATTTTTAGGCCACTGCTGTCGTTCGCCATTATTTCAAACTGTCTCTTCTTTTATGGCCTCTATGAAATGTGTTATTTGTCGTCGTGTTGTTAATTTCCAGGATACACATGCCACCGATGATATAAAAAATCCAATGCCTGAAAAATAGTAGAATTGGGAAAAATAATTATATTAAAAAATTTAAATCACTTTTAATTTAATTTGCATTAAAATAACAAAACAGATTTTTGTTCAATCATTTGTTGTTTTTATTATGTTAAATAAACATGCAATGTAATGAATGCCTATGTAAATATGTATATTTAACTATTGAATGCAACAAATAGCTGTTGTTTTTATACCCTTCACCACTCTGTGGTACAGGGTATTATGTCTTTGTGCATATGTTTGTAACAGGCAAAATGAAACGAGATAGACACATGGTTGCTTTTGAGAATATGCATAGAATCACTTTCTGAGTCGATTTATGCATGTCCGTCTGTCCGTCTGTGGACAGACACTATGTTAAATTGTAAACAAAGTACAGGTCGCATTTAGATATAGTTCCCATATATATTTTCATTCGATTTAATGTAAATTGTCTACCAAAGTCCCTATATATCTTTCGATTTGCACGAAATTTTGCATAACGTATTGAATTGAGTCTAGAAAGATTTTTGTTAAATTTCGTGAAAATCGGTTCAGATTTAAATATAGTTCAAATATAAGTTTTCCGATTTTATGTAAATGGTGTACCAAAGTCCCTATATTCCTTGGATTTGCACGAAATTTTGCAAAGCGTACTGTTATAAGTCTAGAAAGATGTGTGTTAAATTTCGTGAAAATCGGTTCAGATTTAGATATAGCTTCCATATATATTTTCGTCCGATTTAATGTAAATGGTGTACCAAAGTCCCTATATATCCTGCGATTTGCACGAAATTTGGCACGGTGTACTTAATTAGGTCTAGAATGATGTGTGTTAAGTTTCCTTAAAATCTGTCCAGATTTAGATATAGCTCCCATATATATTTTCGTCCGATTTTATGGTGTACCAAAGTATATATCTTTCGATTTGCACGACATTTGGCAAAGCGTAGAAAATTAAGTCTAAAATGACGTGTGCTAAGTTTCGTGAAAATCGGTTCAGATTTAGATATAGATTCCAGATATAGTTTCGCCCGATTTTATGTAAATGGTATGCCAAAGTCCCTATATATATATCCTTCGATGTCCATGAAATTTGGCATAGCGTACTGAATTGAGTCTAGAATGATATCTGTAAAAGTTCTTGAAAATCGGTTCAGATTTGGATATAGATCCCATATATATTTTCGACCGATTTAATGAAAATGGTTCACCAAAGTTCCTATATATCTTTCGATTTGCACGAAATTTGGCATAGAATACAGATTTAGTTCCAGAATGAGGTGTGCTAAGTTTCGTAAAAATCGGTTCAGATTTAGATATAGCTCCCATATATATTTCGTGCGATGTTGGGTAAATGGTGCACCAAAGTCCCTCCAAATCTTTCGATTTTCACGAATTTTGGCATAGCGTACTAAATTAAGTCTGGAATGATGTGTGCTAAGTTTCGTAAAAATCGGTTCAGATTTAGATATAGCTCCCATATATAGTTTCGACTGATTTTAGGTAAATGGTGCACCATGGTCCCTGAAAATCATTAGATTTGGACGAATTTTGACATAGCGTACTGCAGTAAGTCTCGAATGATGTATGCTAAGTTTCATGAAATTCGTTTCAGATTTAGATATAGCTCCCATATATATTTTTCTCCGATTTTATGTAAATGATGCACCAAAGTCCCCATATATCTTTCGATTTTGGTATATCGTACTGAATTAAGTATAGAATGATGTGTGCAAAATTTCGTGAAAATCGATTCAGATTAGCATACCCCTCCTATATATTTTCGTCCGATTTTAAGTAAATGGTACACTACAGATCCATAGCTAGGCCGATTGACATCACGTACTGAAGTTAATATAAATTGATCGCTGGCAAGTTTCCTTGAAATTGGTTCAGATATAAATATAGCATAGCGTCCATGTATAATTTTGACTTATCCATGTTTATTGTACACCAAATAATCAATGGGTGTCTGATTGAGATTAAATTTTAAACAGTGTATAGGTTGGAGAATGACATGTGTGATTGATGTTAGTCGGTTTAGATATAGATACAGATCACATATTGAAGTTCGTTCAATTTCATGTCAATGCTCCTTCGAAAATATATGCGAAGAATATGCGCAAAGTAGTGAAGGGTATCATATAGTTGGCCCAGTTCGACTTTACTACTTCCCTTACTGTTTTTTATTTATTTTTTTATTTGTAAAATTGGTCCTTTTCTTGTGAGACATTTTTTCTACAGACTAAATTGGTACTAAGTTTTTCAGTCTTTGAAAATTGAGCCTTTGCTTCTGATTTCTTTATATACAATTTCCCTTTCCGGTATTTAGAAGGTCCCACCCGGCCCCACCGAAGGTTTTAGTTGAAATGATTCTAACAAGGCATTTCAGGGGAAAATTTTTCCTGCCTGTCAATGGAAGACATAAATTTACTGACGTTATTATACCGAGGATTTAAAATGTCGAGCTTTCAGCTTCTACAGTTATTTCCTTGTCTATTACTGAAACACATTTGCAAAAATGTTTATTTTTTGCTAGTAATGTCTTGATCCGTATGCCTTAATTAGGCATTCGATCGCCACATACTCTAATGTTGGACAATTATTTCACTTAACATTCTCTCTCCACCATAAATTTTTTAAATTCCTTAATCCTTCATTTGTTTGTTTTCCACTTACCTATTAATAAAATTGCTTCCGATGTTTCATCCTGTATTGTCTTCGAGACTAAACATAACAGGAACAGGCCACTTAACAAACAAAAGGATCCAATGACGACAGCAATGGTAATGAATATTAAAATGGGATCCTTGAGGGCGTCATTGAGAAATGAAGAACACAAGGGTTTGGGTGGAGCGCCACTAAAAGAAACAAACACAAACACAAACACATACACAAATTAAATTAATTATTGCAGATTATTTGTTATCAGTTTTAAATATTTTTTTAATTCAATTAAATTGAATATATTCTTTTAAGAATTAAATTTTTGTTTTTCTTCTTCTTTAAATCACACAATTACACACCACGACTGATCATATGTTGGCAGAGCACAATCGACACGTCTTACTTCCATGATGAGTTCTTCAAAACTAATGCTCTCCGCGATATTTCCTCCGTTACGTGGAAGTGATGTTTTGCTGGCGCTGGTTGAGAGCTCGTGCTGTAATTTGTTTACAGCATTGACTCTATTTTTAAATTACTACACAATTGTGCGGTATGCTGTGTACATCAGTTGGTTGGAGTAGTTAGTGGGGCATTGAACTTCGAAATTAATTCAAATTGGAACAATGAATAAAACAGACACTCGAAAACTGAGTTTTGAGAAAGAGTCATGTCCAACTAATTTAAGTATAATTCCTTAAATAAGTTCGATTTTCACATATCTTCGTTCGCAGGCAAGAGAGTAACAAGTTTTTTAATTCCCAATTAATTTAAAATCCGAGCTATATCGCTACGTATAAAGGTCCCGAACTATTAAGACCTTTTTAATGCAAACTCTGCGGTAAAGGTTATACATTTTTTATTTATTTCAATGTAATTTTTTGTATATACTTATTTTTTTCTTTTGAATTATCCCACTAGTTCATAGAACCTGCTGTAGAGTACAACTGCAACATTAGAAATTTCATTTTCAGCATTATATTGTGATGACACTGATTTCTAAAAATATCACCACACCACCGATCGTCACGCACAAATGCGACGCTCGTACATACGAATCTTAGGCAGTCAGCCATCCAGCCAGACACATTTTATAGCTTACAAAGGGGGAGAAAAGAAATATTTTTATTTTTGGAATACTCCACCTATTGTTACCCCAAAATGAGTCGCGTGCCATACATAAAATATACTCATTGGGGTATGACGTTCCCCTTGCTTACAATTTGTGTGTATGTATGCAACCGATCATATGTGCGCTCATGAATGAGGCAACATTCTTATTAGTGCTGCATGTAGACCAATAAGATATTCCAATATGAGAGTTTGTCTTCAATGAGATTCCCATTGAAAATACGGTCTGCTTGAGCAGAAGAAAGGAAGTGGTGTTTGTCTCTTTGGGCATAAAAAATCGGAACTAAGTTATGAAAACATTTATATTTAGACGCATAGCAACAACAACAATATCAATGATTGTGGGTTGTGGCATATGGTTGCAGTTGTGATGGAGTGCAACAGATGATGACGATGTGTAACATAAAACAGATCTTTAGTTTTCATTGGGGGTGACTGATGTTGTTATTTTTTCCGTCGGCTGGTTGTTGCAACAATTGTTTAGAAATATGAATTTCTTATAAGGAAGTGGAAAATTGAATAGAATTTGTTTATATAAAAGGAAATTCTTAAAGTTAAGGAAATAAAAAGGTCAATAAACTTAAGGTGATGAAAAGATGCAGACGTAAAAAATACAGGGAATATATAGAATAATAGGAAGAATTTGTGTTAAAAAATCAGAATATACATTTAAAGTATTATTTTTTTCCCATAAACAATACACAATAGAAATTAATAAGGAAAGCAGTGAAGTCGGACGGGGCCGACTATATTATATCCTTAACCACTTTGCGTATATTCAACAGATGAATCGTAACAGACGTCTTATTTTTAAATGGCCAGTAAAATAAAATAAACATGTCATTCTGCAACCTATACGAAACTTTTCATTTGTACAGATATAGAGTTGCTTCTTAAAATAGGACAAAATTATGTAAATCAATTTAAAGTAATAATCCATCAGACACCCGTTGATTATTTGGATAAATATCTGATAAACATGAGGAGTTTGGTACACCATTTACTTAAAATCGGACGAAAATATATATAAAAGCAATATTGAAATCTAAACCGATTTCATCGATACTTGTCACAGGTTAGGTTATACTAATTTCAGTATGTTTTGTTCACATCGGCCACATTTCGAGTTTATTAACATAGAAGAAAATATATATGGCAGCTCTATCCAAATTTGAAACGATTTCAACAAAACTTGCCACACGTTATGTTATAGTACGTTGTGCAAAATGTAATGTCCAAATTGTAATGTGTATATCTAACTTCTAGGTTATACTAACTTCAATAAGTTGTGCAAAATATTGTGTCAATTTTGTGTAAAATCGGACGAAAATATATATGTAAAAGCTATATCTAAATCTGAACCGATTTCAACGAGACTTGACAGAGATTAATTAACTACAGTTCATTGTACAAAATTGTGTAGCAATCGGAAAACTTTGGGTCTTTAGTGCACACTTGACATAACGTGAACCGAAACTTAGCACACATCATTGTAGACCTTATTCAGTACGCTATAACAAATTTTCGTGCACCGGACGAAAATATATATGGGGGCTATATCTACATATGAACCGATTTTAACGAAACTTAACACACATCATTTTAGACTTAATTCAGTACCCCATGCAAAATTTCGTACAAATCGAAAGATGTATAGGGGCTTTGGTATACCATTTACATTAAATCGGACGAAAATATATGTGGGAGCTATATTTAAATCTGAACAGATCTCCACGAAACATAGCACACATCATTCTAGACTTTATTCAGTACGCTATGCCAAATTTCGTGCAATTCGAAAGATATATAGGGAATTTTGTGCACTATATTCATTAAATCGGACGAAAATATATATGGGAGCTATATCTAAATCTAAACCGATTTTCATGAAACATATGATACGTCATTCTAGGCTCAACTTTATTCAGTACGCTATGCCGAATTCCGTGCAATTCGAAAGATATATATGGACTTTGATGCACTATATTCATTAAATCGGACGAAAATATATATGGGAGCTATATCTAAATCTAAACCGATTTTCATGAAAGATATGATACGTGATTCTAGGCTCAATCCACTACTCTACATGTAGGATGGGTTCTGGCCAATGAAGACCCCTATTGTTTTTGGAAAAGATCGATTAATATTTAGGGGATGAAATGGACCAAAAACATTATTATTGTCGGTTTTTCTGGTCGCTCCAGAGGCCGCAATTATGACCCAACCACCGCGAATTGTTGCATGGAGAAGGAGATCGGGCCAGAGAATAAGCATGCATGTTTTGATAAAGATCGGTGAATATTTAGCGGGTCAAATGGACCCTGACTTGAAAAATGACAAAATTTGTATTCTATGGCATATATATTTACTCCTGGAGGATGTAGAACGGGGAGTGAGATTCAAGTTGTGGTCAAGGACAACGCCTATAATTTTCGGTGATGATCAGATAATAATAGTGGGATGGGTCCACCTTAATTTTTTTGTGTTTTTATCATCATAACACAACCCACAGTGAAGGACAAGTAATTATAAGGGATTTACTGAATATTAATAATATTTGTTGACCTGTAGTCGGTCAAGAGGGTGCAAATATAGCGAAATATTTACCATGCTCAGAATATATAACCACAGAAAGGTTAGGTTTTCATGGAAGTTGTGTAGGGTATCGTATGTCGCCCCCGCCCGACTATACTGCTCCGCTCACTGGTTTATTCTAAATTGACAGACGGACTCGACTCAGAAAGTGATTCTATGTATATTTTTCTTTCCAAAATACTCCAGACACAATAGTCCAATGGATTGATATCCGGCTGAAAATGAAGCGAGGAACCACATTTTGTAACCATTCATGGGTGGCGCGTGCTGAGTGGGATTGTGCTGAGTCCTGTTGGAATGTCCAAGGTCTGCTGCCAAAATGTTTGTTCTAATACACCCTCCAAAATATTTTCGCGATAATATTAGTCATTTATTCTGATGCCACGGTTCGAAAAATACGAGCGGAGAGCCACCATGGGCTACTATTGCGGCCCACACCATCACCATGGATTGCGCTTGAGTTTTGGTGGCCAACCAAAGGTGCACATTTTCAGCTGACCTCTTTAGCAAGTAAACACGATCATTTTTTATTTGTTTACAAACCGCTGGACATCAAATGTTTTCTCATCGGAGAAAACCAAATTCTGCCGTTAACCACTTTCGGCCAAGCGAGTCTATTTTTTGAGTCTATTTTCTTTCTGTTACGCTGCAAGTTTTTGCACTTTTTTCAATTTTAATGACTTTACACCGAGCTCATTTTGCAATAGTTGCCGAATGGAATATTGCAATACGTTCAGTTCACGAGCCAATTTTCGACCACTGCGACGCGGGTTTCGATCAAGTCGCTTTTATACTTTTCGAACCATTTCAGCTGATGTTGCTGTTTTCTTCCGTCCACTTCCTTGACGTCGGGCTACGCTACCACTATATTTAAAAAATCCACGCTTATATTGGTCATTGAAGAACTATTTAAAAAGGCTACAATTATATTAGTCAATAAAAAACCAGTGAGCGGAGCAGTATAGTCGGACGGGGCCGACCATAGGATACCCTACACAACTTTCATGACAATTTAACTTTCTGCGGTTCTATATTCTGAGATTGGACAATATTTCGCGATATTTGCACACATTTGTTACTAATAATCAGTACAGCCCCTCTAATTACTTGTCCAGATCCCCTTCACCGTGGGTTGTGTTGTGATGTTCGGCTTTCGACTTGAAAAGAACAAATAATTAAGTTTTCGGTCCACTTCATCCAAAAAATTGTTATCTGATCATCACCTAACATTTTAGGCATTGTTCTTGACCATAACTGGAACCTCATGGAACATTTCAAAGCGATCAGAGCTATATTTCTGCCCTCCAGTGTGGTAATAGGTTACTAAATAATATATGAATACGTAAGCACCTGTAAATATTTAAGTGTAACTCCCGCATCCGAGTACCTACGACAATATAATTGGTATCAATTTAAAGGTCATCCATTCCTCTTGGATATACTATAAACATATCGGGTCTATGTCCTTCAGTGTTAAATATATACGCTATAGAATATATATTTTGTCATTTTTCACACAAAAGTTAGGGTCCATTTGAACCGCTAAATATTGACCGATCATTATCAAACGAGGCATGCTTATTCTTTGGCCCGATCCCCTTCTCCATGCAAAAATTCGCGGTGTTTGGGTCATAATTGCAGCCTCTGGAGTGACCAGAAAAACCGACAAAAATAAAGTTTTTGGTCCATTTCATCCC